GTAAGTATTTTCACTATATTGAAATGAGAAATGGATGACTAATTTAGTATCCTATGCTAAAGATGAAGTTAGAGAATTTGACCGAAGATTTTAATCCACAAGAACACCAATAACGAAGAGTGAAGAGACTGACTTGCAGAGAAATCTAACTGCTGCCAATTGAGATTGACTTGATTTATAAATGGCTGAAAGTTCTTGGTAATATTACACTGGAAAAAGCTACACTATTTCACAACCGAATATTTACATCTTGTTTTTAGTTGGATTACTTGTATCAACAAGAAGATACACTAGCTTCTGAATACATGTCATGAAAACGCATTTAATAACTGACAAATCGGTGTGACAAAAACTTCCCACAATTTGGTGATACAGAAACTACAGAATGTGGCATGAAATGGAATAATAATAAAATAGTTCTAAAAAGAACAGCATATATGATGTGCATTTGCGATGCATATGAAAGAAGCATGAATTCTTTAGCTACAGTTTTGTGGCATTTCTTTTGCAAAAAAGAGAAATGGTTCTTAATAGTGCAGTAAAAAAATCTAAGCAAACGAGACAGTCCTGATGGGAAAGATGCAGAGATGATTATTGAATGTGAAGTTTGTGACATCTTGCAATTCTATTCGTGAAAGAGCATCTCCTTGTTTCAGTGAAGGTGCAATTGTAATAATAGGAATCTCTGGAATCTTTGATACATAGATTTGTCACTTTCCATGGCAAAAACTGCTAAAGATAAGGTTGGACTGAATTTTTAAAATTTTGGCTAAAGAAGAAAAATGACTTCCAATCTGTGAAGCTATGATAATGTGATATAAGTCCATGGCCTTGTTCTCTGTTCTAAGCATGGATGTTCACATATGATCATGGAGCAACATGAGGCAGTATGTTTTTCATTTAATTTTCATACAGTATCTCAAATTGTCATGCTTGAAATCTGGCAGAATTGGCAGTTTCCTTATTAGTTTATAGGATATTTGAAATGTTATGATTTTAGTATAACGTAGAAATTGCTGAAATTGTACAACTGATTAGTCTTGCAGAATGGTCCCTGAGCAGTTTAAAGGCTAACGTTAAAAGTGTTGATATTCAGAAACAGGAGAAACTGGATTAGTCTTCGACATACAACCATTTTTTTAGTGACCATTCAAGGTTACAGTGGCTCTGAGAAAAGTGACTTAGGACCGTTATGCAGCAACTCCATGGTCACATGATCAAAAATCAGCCGCCTGGCAACTGGGTCATGTGATCACTTCTTGCAACCTTCTGACAAGCAAAATTGGGAAGCTAGATTCACTTAACAATCATGTTACTTAACAACTGCAGCGATTCATTTAACTGGCAAGAAAGGTCGTAAAATGGGGAAAACTCACTTAACTAGTTTGCTTAGCAGTGGACATTTTGGGCTCAATTGTGGCCGTATGTCAAGGACTGTGTACTATGTTTCAGTTGTCTTTGAGAATAAACTCTGAGATTATAGTTCTAGTGAGGAAAGTAACAGTACAGTGTTTGACTTCAAACATTTATTTAAATTTAAACAAGATTACTCGGCTTTTTTTGCGTCACCAAAAGGATTCAGAATTTCCTACAAACAGATGATGAAATTAGGAAATCCGCTTTTATAGAAAAGAGATCTCTTAATGCTACATATATCAAGAACAATTTCAGATTGAATCATTAATAGTTTAAACATTTGAATCATTTTGAAAAAGGTCTGTTTTCTTGATTTTTTAATTTTGCTTTTTATAATTGCTGAATTTGTACTCCTCCAATGTCTTGTCTTCTTTTACAAAATATGCTGCCATCCTAGTTAATTTTAGGAATTTGTTCTGTTATGAGGGACAATTTTATGTAATTTTCTGGGCCATTTTAAGAACCTGTTACAAATTAGGTCAATAATGTATATGTACACAGCTTCCTAGATTTTTACCGATTTTGTTTGGCATTGCAGAACCACACATGAATTCTTATTTGGAGCTCTGGCGGAGCTTGTAGATAATGCAAGGTAATGTTCATAAGACAATAACTTCCTAGGTTTTAATTTTATTTTCTTGCATTATTCAGTGTATGATAGCTCATCCTCTACTAAAACCAATTCCTTATTGCTGTTTTATAGAGACGCAAATGCCACAAGAATAGATATCTTTACTGGTAAGTTAACTTTTTTCCTTATAACTTGCCAGATATTCATAGAACGCAGAAGGTAGATTGGAAAGTGGAGTGGGTGGAACACGAAGAATATGTACATATTTAATGATAACTAGGAAAGGATTAAATGATCTTTCTGTTCACTGAATTTATTCCCAGGCCCTTATATAAGCTTTAAAGCATTTGAACTCATTCATTTTATTAGTTCTTGAAGCTGTTTTACCAATAAAATATGATATAATGTATGATAAATAGTTTGATCATTGGCTTTGCTAATATTTTAACATGGGTCAAAGCAACTCATAAGAATACACCTAAAGTTACTTGTATTGGACAAAGTAATTTAAGTTGCAATTAAAGTTGTAGCGCAAAACTCACTTTAAAATGTCTTACTTACCAACAGAAATTTTGGCTCAATTGTCATAAGTCGACTACCTGTAGTCATGCTGGCCACATGACCATGGAAATGTCTTTGGACAACGCTGGTTCTCTCAGCTAAGAAATGGAGATGAGCACTACCCCCTAGAGTGGGACATGACTGGACAGGGGAAACCTTTGCCTTTATGTGTTATTTAAACTGACTCCATGAGCGAATGAGAAAGAACAGTAGATAATAACAGAATTTTTTTTTGTTCCAAAGTAATAAAAAATAAGATAATGTGCAGCTTTTGTGCTACAAGACTATTGCTCTGAACGATTAAATTGTTATGTCTATAATTGATAAATTTATAAAATAAGACTTTGTGGCTTACAAAATCATATTTACAGAGTTGAAATTAACATCCTATGTAATAGTGTATCTACAGTTGTATTTATTCATCTCCCTCATTCATATATTACTTTTCTGGCACGAGGATGACTTCCATGTGATCTTTATCAAAATGCTAACTGGTACACATATACCATAGGTGACGCAGCTGACATCATTATGTCCTTTCCCAACATTACATATTAAATAAACCTAAAAGCTGCCGGTAGTTATCTAATTCCAATTATTTCATTGAATTTAAGAGAGCTTCTAATATTTTGTTCCATATATTTCTAAATTTTCATCTATTTCCCAGTGTGGCACTAGTTGGCTTTTATAGATCTGCTTACTACAGCAGATATTCCTTCAGTCTCATGCAATTATGATGAGAAGATCTCACCAGCTTGGAGCTGAGAAGAGATGAAGTTGCATAGTGCAACGCTAATGGATGATTTCCTGATCACGACCTCTTTGTCTCCAAACATGGAACTGCCTTTGGTCTTGCTTGAAAATACAGAATGAAATCAGGAACAAGTATAAGTACCGAATCCTGGCCATGGCAGTTTTTATTCCTAATATAAAAGAAGGATTGTAGACCCGTCACTCAAAAGTCTTCTGTTCTCATAGAGAATCGTGAAGACCTTCGAGGTGGATTCATGCTGTGCTTTTTGGACGATGGAGCTGGAATGGATCCAAGTAAGTAAAAAAAGAAAGAGAAAAAGAATATTTGAAATTGACAGATTACAATACATCAAGTATGGATTATCCATTATGTTTTACCAAAGTTTGTTAAAATATTTGTGAAGTCAGTAAAGGCAGAATGATAAAAATATATTTTAAGATCTGTTGATTAGTATGCTCTGAAGGTCATTTCAAAGGTGATTCAATTGAAATTTCAGGTATGTGCCTTCAAAGCTGTATGGTAATTTTATGAAAAATTGTAGCCTGGTAATCCTGTACATCTGCACACAAATCACGCATTTCAACTTGATACTTTTTGACTTGTCATATTAGTGATAATTTGATATGAATTTGTGTATTCATAAAATAAATCTTTATTATTAAATAGTCTGAGGTTGAATATTCCAGAAAATTTATAAGAAAATACTTATGTGACTTAAATTAGCAATATTTATGAGATAGGTTTCTCCAGATGCTTAAGTTTCTTTCTGTGAATGATTTTAGGAAGCATCGCGTTTTAATGACAGTGTATCATGAGCTTGGACTCTTAGATTCTTCCAGGGGAAGCAGAAAACAGACAATAAGATACAGAAGATGGTATTTTTATATTCGTATTCTGACAAATGAAAACAGTTTGCTATAGTGGAGGTCGTCATGCAACGTCTAGAAGCCATAACACTTCCACAACCAAAAATATGGATCAGATATGTAGACGATATCTTCATCATAATAAAAAACGACCAATTAGGGAACACCCACAGAACCATCAATAACATTTTTAAAGGAATCCAGTTTACTAGAGAAGAAGAAAACAACAACTCGGTACCCTTCCTGGACAACCTGATCAGCAGAGACCCCAATGGCAAACTGGAAATGCAAATGTACAGAAAAACCACTAACCAGATGCTCCATTAGCAAAGCAACAACCTAACCCCTCACAAGAGAAACTACATAAAGACTTTATTTAGATGAGCCCAAACGCTCATCTAAATCCGCAGCAACCCGGAACAGCAGAAAAGGAACAAAAAGATCCAAGCACCTCTCCACCAGCATCAACACCCAGATCATCATAGATTAAGATTAAAATCAGACCAACAATCAAGTAAACAATAACCCAATTATTGCCAAAGAGCCAATAATAAACAGCCCAACCAAAGAATTTCTAAGATCACCCCACCAACATTGACGGGACAAGCCACCAGAATATAAACCGACAGCAAACAACACTCCTTACTAGCACTGATGATATTAACCTAGTTTGGGTAATGAAGCATCCGCAAGAAAACAAGCTCAGAGGGCACTAAGGACCTCTCAAAGGATGAACTATCTCAGTTGGAGACAATATTTGACTGATATTATCTCTACTTGGAAATTAAACATAATCAACGCTGAGTAGTGGCTGGATGGGAGAACTCCAGGGAAGTCCAGGGTTGTTGCGTGGACTGGAAAGCCAAAATAGCATCCTGGAAGAAAGCAATGATGATTCACTTTCACAATTGTCTCAAGAAAACTAGATAGACATATTTGTGAAATCATCAGGAGTCACACTTGACTTGAAGGATAATTTTGCCATAAAGTGTTAATTTTCAATATACTGGGAGTTCACATAAGGTCTTTTTTCAAGGAGTTTACCAATTTAATACAAAAGTATGCTGAACGCAAACCAGTCCAAGCCATATATGAAGCCTATGTGTTCAAAACACAATGCTTATCTTTCAAATGAGGCAATATTATGCCTGGAGAGCAAGAGACTTTTGTTCAAGTTTCAGCCATCCATGCTGAACTTCCTTCAATCATTTAAAAGAAATTACAACTGAAGGAAAAAAGCTGCTGTGAGACTACAAGGAATGAATTGCAAAAGTTAGGGAGGGATTTACAAACACCATGCACCAGCCTGAAAGAAAAAGTAGGCAAACTATGTTTGTTACTTGAGAACAGTAGTGCTGGGAGAGAGAAAACCTGCCATTTTTTAATAATCTGTTATAGTTTAAGAGAAGCTGATTTAAAGCAAATGCCCTTGTTTGCCTTGATTTTGGTGAATGAGAGTGGTTATCTTCAAAGTGAAAATCAGATTTCAGGAATTATACAAAAATAAGCTCATTCTTATCATTTACCTATTCATTCACTTATTTTTGCATATTTTTATTAAAACAATTTTATTGTTTAAAATTGTAAGGGATCATGGTTGTATGATGGAAGCTTCCACATACTCATTTATTATTTTAGAAGGTCATAATACTCAAAAGTTTGGTGACCTCTCAAGAAATGCTGAGGAGCTACACCACTTCGACAACTTCATGCTGGCCCTAGGCAGAGGTTCAAGGAAACCCTGGGCAAAGGAAGGCAATGATCTGACTGAAATGGATCAGGCAAGAGAAGAAGTCCGTTGCAGCCTATATCCAAGAATTCCGGAGCTTAGCCAGTTGGCTAGATGGCCCCAGGCAATACTGATTGAAGACTTCCAAGACGGATTAAACCATGAGATTTTCTACATCTCTTACATGACAATGAGAAGCACCTAGAACCCTCTGCCAGTGGTACAGGTTGGCTGATGAGGTGATTGACTTTGCAACATTTCACGAACGCACTGGCTGGGAGCAACAAAACCCTTACACCCCAGAGAGGAAGGATTCACTCTGGATGGGAAAGGGGAGGCAGTCCTAGGCTTCACAACATGGAATGTTTCCAATATGGCAAAGATGGCCAACAAGCCATTGTCCTTCCCAGTGCCAAACATCAGTTGCCATCCATGAGGCTCCCAAGAAAACTAAAGTGACATTTAAATGCTGAGAGGGATCTCTAAGGGATTGAGATCGTAGAGTTCACCCCATCGACCAGCGATGGTGAGGGAACTCCGATCAAAGGCCCAAAGTTGGATCAAGACAACAACAGCGGAAAAGAAGACGACCCTATGGTAAGTGACCCTCTAATCACAGTGACAATCTGCATAGAATTAACAGTGACTTCCTCAAGGTGTAGGAACTTGTCCATAGACTGAAACTGAAATGTATTAAAAATTCTCCGGCAAAACCCAGAGCAGGAAGCCCCAAAGCAAGTGAAACTAAGTAACCACGTGCCTCTTATTAAGAAAATGAAAGGGGAAAGCCTGTCTTCAACCCAAGAGTGGAAAGAAGCAATTAGTGCCATACTTACTAAATACCGGGATTTAGAAGACTTCTAAATGGGAGGTGTATGGAAGGCTGACATGCTCCCCACCCCAATCGACCACAGACTTTGTGATCAAGATCTTACCCAGGACCAAACTACCGAAGTCTAGACTTGATGACACCAAGGGAGGTGGAAGAGCTCAGAGCTTTTATTGACAAGAACTTGGCCAGGGGTTTCATCCGACCAGCAAAATCGCACATTGTCGCCCCAGTGTTGTTTCGGGAGAAAAAGGATGGCTCTCTAAGACTGCGTTAATTACTGCTGCCTGAATGGGGTTTGTGTGGAGAATGTGTATCCCTTGCCAGTGATGAAAGACATGTAGTCTACTAGAGCCATTTGGCAAAAGGAAAACTGTTTGCCAAATTATTCAACATGACTTTGAAACTGTCAAAGCCCTTTTTGTATTATTTAAGGTAATCTTTGCTGGCTTTGCCTGCCCTGGGTACTGATTTGTTCACCTGAGTGCCTTGAATCTGCCTACTATGTTTGCCTGATCCACCTACCTTGTTATCGGATTTTTCGTACATAGTTTCATATCACAAGTGCCCAAAGAGTGGAAAATACAGTTGCAATTGAATATCTTGTAAAAGCTGTACACATGATTACTGTTGACAGTCCTATGCCTTGGAAAGGGCAAACTTTTACAAGACCTGTTTTTTTTTTTTTTACTTTCTACTTGACTCGTGGCATTGTGAATTGATGAGCATTTCAGTATTGATATTGACTGAAACGTGTTTTCTTGAAATATGTTCTTTGATACCATCTTTTCTTTGTATCAGAACTTTGAGGCTATATAAGGAAGTCTTCACTTACCAGCCACAATTGGGATCAGCAACTCTGTCACTAAACTACATGGTCATAAAGAGAAACATCATGTGATCAATTTATGATGTAATTTTCAGCTACAATTGTTAAGTGAATCACCACAGTTGTTAAATGCATTGACTGCAGCTTGCAATTTCCTTCTGGCTTCCCCATTGACTTTGTCAAAAACTGGCAAATGTTAAAAATAGCAATCATGAGGTTGTAGGATCACAGGACCATTGTACATGTGCACCAATTGCCAAGCATCTAAACTGCAACCATGTGACTGTGGGAGTGCTATGATAGCCACAACTTAAGACCCACAACTGCTATTTTCAGTTTCTTCATAACTTCGAACAGTTGCTAAACAAGCAGTCAGTAACTGAGGACTATCTGTAAAATAATTCACTGAGCAGGAAATAACGAGCAGACTGTTACAGAAGTCGTTCCATGCATTGAAATAATCGTGGATTTTGAAAATATTAAACTATCTTTCGTCATGTTAGTGTTATGTAAGTCTTGCTTCATAGAACCTAATATGACGACAGATAGTTTAATATTTTCAAAATCCACAATCTCTTTAATTCTGTACGTGTTAAGTGGCTGTTCACAGCCGGACAAAGAAAATGGATTTTAATTGTATCTACAGTTTGTTCATCTGTCAGGCAGCCATACAGCCTTTCATTTTTAAAAATTACATCATCACAAGATTAAGAAATCGAGTAAAGTGCAACAGCAGTTTTAAGCAAATGCTTCCATTGTTTGTGACAAAATTATTTGCTGCTGAACCATTACATCTAATTTATTGATAGAGCTAACATGAATGAAATTATTTGGAAAGCACAGAGTAAATTGATGAAAAGAGATGGTATGAAAATGCTATAATCTAGAAAATTGTTTGGCGGCTTTCCCAGTACTGAAAACAATATTTTTTTGCAACTACATCCACTTTACCGTATACTATAATTGCCTAGCAATTATATCTTTGTTATTATTGAAGATCAGCTTGGAGCTTATTGTCATCAGAAGACAAGAAACTTCCCAAGTGACTGTGAATCTGTTCTACCTTTTAACATACCTCCTTCTGAATAGAGATTATGAAAATTGGAGCATACCTGGAAGAATTCTTTATCTGAAGCTTTAGGGAGGTAGCTAGTAATATATGTATTCTTGAGGTTTTTTTCTTCCTCATTTTGTTGTATTACTTTCAGATGATGCTGCAAGTGTGATTCAGTTTGGTAAATCTGCTAAACGGTCACCAGAATCCACACAGATTGGACAATATGGAAATGGCTTAAAATCGTAGGTATTATGGAGTCCAGTCTCCCGAATACTTTTTGTTTCATTAAAATGCTAAAAAGAAAAAGAAAAATTTACTTACTGAAAGGATGAGTTTTTCATGATGTTGGTTGCTTCCCTGGTTACTGGCTTCTGTTACATCTCTTATTTTACCTTACCTTATGAAGCAAATGAAAAGAAGAGACTGGACAGTCACTTGTCTGAAATGGTATAGGTTCTCCTGCTTGAGCAGGGGGCTGGATTAGAAGACCTCCAAGGTCCCTTCCAGCTCTATTCCTATTCTATTCTATTCTATTCTATTCTATTCTATTCTATTCTATTCTATTCTATTCTATTCTATTCTATTCTATTCTATTCTATAAGATAAACCAGCATTATAGTATTACTACATTTTCTTCAAATTTGTATGAGAAGAAAACATCCTGCAAGTACCCTTTAGGACTTGTAGATAATAATCACTTGATAATATGTTCATTTGGATTTCTTCAATACCAAGAATTAATCCAGATCGTTTCCTAAATCCTTCAGTGGGGAAGTCAGAACAGCAATCTCTTTCAGTATCAACCCATTGGAAGATAACTCATCTCTCAGTTTTAGGAACTGCCTTAGGAGAATCTGTTGCAAGATTAATATCCTAACTCTTTTATCACCAATTATCCACTTTCATAATCATGTAATTTGCGTATTGAGGGTTCCGAATCTGATTTGACACGAATCCAGAAAATTTAGTTCCAGCCAGGATGGTTGAAATTATTCAGCAACCACCTGTTTCAATGTGTAAGATAAGAATACTAGAAATGGAATAAAAATGATTCCTTCTGGAACTGCCCAAAAGTTCAACTCACACAGCTGATCCATTATTTTTAATGCATTAATAAAGACAATTCATAACCATCAATCTCTTCAACCAAGTTTAGCACACTGAATCTTGGTTATATAACTTTGCCACTTCCTAGAATGAAACTGATTCCTTTCAGAAGCTGAAGGAGATTACCTACTATTCCTTCTGGATTAGAGTAAAAATTAGTGGCTACGTGCCTCTCTGTTTTCACAAGCTTTTTTCTTAATATATTATTACTTAATAACACAGACTGTTGGTAAGTCTTCTAAACTACATTGTCCCAAAGCACAATGGAAAGAGTATCTGCATCCAGAGATCTTCAGTTAAATTGAAAGACCTGATGTCTTTATAATCTGTGCTCGGATTCCAAATAGATTTCCTTCTTTTGAAGAAACTGCATTTTTCTGAATGTTTCATTTAGCCATCTCCAGAGGCACCAGGATTTTCAGTTAATTAAACAAAGTAAGCTTGTTCCCTGCCTTGTGATTTTCAGTATATCCTGGAAGGATTGATTTTGAGTACCACTCAGTATATATTCCATAAACTGAAATCTTTCTGCAGAGGATCCATGCGGATTGGCAAGGATTTCATCCTCTTTACGAAGAAGGAAAACTCTATGACGTGTCTCTTCTTGTCTCGCACGTTTCATGAAGAGGAAGGCATTGATGAGGTTTGCAAGTATTTGCCTTAACGAAATAGAGAACACACCATTTTTGGAAGACCATCAAAATAGAATTATTCTAAAGCTTTTTTTTTTTTTTTAATTGCAGGTGATTGTTCCACTGCCTGCCTGGAATGCCCACAGCAGGGAGCCTTTGACAGACAACATGGAAAAATTTTCCATTGAGACTGAATTGATTTACAAGTATTCTCCTTTTAAATCAGAGCAAGAAGTGATGCAACAGTTTGACAAGATTTTTGGAGAGAAAGGTAGTGTATTCAGCATACCTTAAGGATAGTATTCTTTGAAATCCGAGTTTTCAACGTAGCATATTTTCCTGAGAGACCCAGTGCGTTGTGGCTATCTATTCAAAGGAAGAATGCTTGCACGAGAGAGTTACTAACACTGTGTCTGTTACTTCAGGGACCTTGGTGATTGTCTTCAACCTCAAATTGATGGATAATGGTGAACCTGAGCTAGATGTGACCTCTGACCCCCGAGATATCCAGATGGCTGAAACTCCACCCGAGGGAACGTACGTTTGATAGAATCAGCCATCTAAGCTCCAATTTTACTCTGTTTTTAATCAAGGATAATATAATTTGCATGCTTTTAATCACTCAGTCTGCAGGTGATGAATTTAGTATGATAAGAGAACATTTTTAGGTTTATGTGCTATGACCTATAAGCCTATGTTCTGTTTCAGGAAGCCAGAACGCCGTTCTTTCCGTGCATACGCTGCCGTGCTCTACATTGATCCCAGAATGCGTATTTTCATCCATGGCCACAAAGTGCAAACTAAACGCCTCTCCTGCTGCTTATTCAAGCCTAGGTATGACGCATAGCCAAGTTCTTTTATAGCCAGCCATTTTTGTCTTGAGCAGATATCAAAGCAAACTCAAGTTGCTATCATTTTTCAGATGAATGTCCAGTTGGTTTTGCCAATCTTTCAGATCTCGTCTCGGCTCCCCTCATCACAACCTATTTCCAATTTAGCTTGTATTAATCCTCTAATTCTTTCATTGTTGTGAGTTAATTGCAGTTATTTTTCCAAAACATTTCCATCTCATGATATAACGTAACCATCTCTGTTTTCTTATTGTATCATTTCTTCTCTTCGTATTCCTTTTAATATTACTGACAGTTATGCAGTTTGTATTACACTGTTTCAGATAGTGTTTCCATTTTAGGTCTCTACAGTCGTGACTTTTACATACATAATAATGCTTCGAAGCTTTGCAGTCATTTTCTATTTGCGTGACTCTCTCAACTTCAAGACTACAGCATTTTGTTTGCAAGGCTGAAGAGCACATGGATTGGCAGTCTTTCAAATGAAGCACTCGTGGTCAGGAATGACTGGGTTAGGGCTAGCTATTTATGGAGAAAGTAAATTTCCTGTTTGCTTAAGAGGAGCCTGTACAAATGAGAACTGATAGCCTCAATACCTTTTTGCAAAAAAGTTGGACACATGTTCCCGAATCAAAGGAATGCTTGCAATGAAGTAGTTATGTGTAATTTCAATTACTCGGCTCCTCTGTGAATTCCTGAGATAGATTGCTTAGCAAATAGATGACGGACAATGACAAGGGTGCATCACAAGGAAGATATTGTTAAAAATGATGAATTGATGTGGAATTTCTGTTGTCAAGTTGTTTAATTCTCCCAGCAACATCAAGAGTTCAAAGGTTATCCTGCTAGATCTAAGATAAGATGGTCCCAAGGTACTCTGAAGCCAAGCCATGTGGAGCTGTCTTCTATCCATGATAGTTGAAACTTTTAAGATAAGAAGAAAGGATTATAACTTAAATTTTATTATGGCTACCCACTCCAAAAATGAAACGTGAAAACCTAGTATAAAAGAAATTATAACAGCAAAATAAATGACGGGCTCGACAAACATACTGTGAGCCTGGGAACAAACCCAGATCTGAGGAAAATATAGTACAGTAGCTGACATAAAAAAAATGACCAGTGGGTAACGCTGAGGCAAAGCCATTCCCTACTCAAACAAGTTCAATTGCTCTTAATAATTCATTGTCTAATTTTATATACCACCACACAAAAGCGGACAACCTTACATGTTATTTCAGGATTAACATCAGAAAATAAGAATTATTTGTACTGCTGGCCATTATATCCTGTTTTACTAGCCAGGAGCAGGGGCAATTGGAGCATTTCCACCCTCTTTTGCATGTTTCCCAACCAGCTTCCGACAAGCAGAGTTAATGGAGAATGTGGACGTAAAATAGCACGTTATAATCGCATGATGCCTTACTTAACAACCATGGTGATTTATTTAACTGAATGAGAACTGATATAACCTTGTGGTCATGAGATTTTCTGCTTATGTCTTTGGCACTTAACAATGGAGTTGCAAGGCAGGTCAACCAAAAGGGCAGAGATGTAGTCACCTAATGTCACGCTTTACGATCATATCACTTAGTGACAGAAATTCTGGTCCCAATTACTGTCGTGATTTATGGATTACTTTTGCATTTTTAATCTCTTAATGAAGTTTCTGTTTGCTGGGGATAGCCAAATATAGGTAGGTGTTAAATTATTTGATTCCGGGTTCAAAATCTACATCTGTGCTGTTATGCCGAGGGAACCTGATTATATGACAAAATGACCACAGAACCGTTAGAATCATAACCTTTTGGTTCTTTAAGATTTTTTCTCACTCATTTAAAGTGCAATTAAGGCCTCATTCCAGTTAAACTCTTGTAGCATTTTTAACAGCAACATGGAAATGGTTTTCTGTTGCTTTTTCCAGATTTATTTATTTTTTTCAAGGATTTCGAGATTAGCAAATACTATTTTGTCTAGCTGGGCGTACATTTTAAGAAATTGGACGACTGCTTTGTTTTATATAGCCCAAAGAAATGCAAGCCTTATGGAGTGCACAGGATTATGACGGTATTAATACATTCCCTCTCTTTTTCCTCTCCCTCTTCTTGCAACTTCTTGTAGGATGTACAAGTATACATCCAAGCGCTTCAAGACTCGAGCAGAACAAGAAGTGAAGAAAGCAGAGCATATGGCTCGGATTGGTGAGTCCCCGAAAAGGAAGGGATGGGAATCCATTGCAGCATGAGCGGCTTCATTAAACCAAGTGTACCTGTTTTGCACACACGTTCCGCATGCAAACGGCATTGTGTTCCCACAGCCTTCTGAAAGCTGCACCGATTTTCTGAAGGCAGTGCAACTTTTGGAAGTTTCCTACACGTTCTGGGAAGCAACTGGTTATAAGTCGAAGGCTATCTGTGCACATTTTCTTTGAAGATTAATTTCTCTTTTACAGTGGAAGACAAGGCACGAGAAGCAGAAAGCAAAGCACGGGCTTTGGAGCTACGGCTGGGAGGGGATCTGACTAGGGAGTCCAGGGTAAATACACTGTATTTGACTGCTAATGTGAAGTTTATCCCAGAACTGATTCAGAGAAATATCCTTGAGCTCAACAAAGGAACTGCTGATTGTGCTTGCTAGTTCGGGAAGACAAAAGGATAAAGGTTCATGATCCAAATTGCTGGAATATCTATTCTGATGAGCCATAATAATATAGGTGTACATACGCGCACATGTATAACCATGATATAATTGCCTCCCTTACTATTTGGGGGGAAAAAATGTTGCATGCCTGAAGCAGGAAGAGAGCCCTTAACATTCTGAAACTTCAGCAGAAGTCATTTAGCTTGCAAAATACACCGTTTATTTCCACAAAATTGTGCACGCTTAAACTCTTGTTGGTTCCAGATGTGTTTTAAGTTGAGGTTTTTTAATATATATATATATATATCTGTAGGTTATGCTGCGCCAGGCTCAAGACATAGCAATAAATATGCGCAGAGAGGCAGATGTTAAAAAGAAGAGCAGGGAGGCAAAACAACGGTGAGTGATATGATTCCTTCATGTTTCTTGCTTTTTTTCTCTTTCGTATAAGTGGTCCATTAAAGAAGGGAAAATATCTTCGTTTTATTTAGGTTCTTTGCTTCACTTAACAACTGTAAAATGTGGCAAAACTCAGCAACTTTGTTGCTTAGCAGCAGAAAAGTTGGGCTCCACCTGTTGAGCCCCTGTATGCTGAGCCTGGAAAAGAGGAGATTGGAGATAGCTGTCAAATAGTTAAAGGGGTGAATTGTGAGACTTTATGCAGAAGACAGGACAAGAAGCAGTGGGCTTAAAATTGTATTTATGCCCTTAAAAGGTAAATTTTGATTGGGCACTAGGAAAATTTCCTATGAGGAAAAGCTCTTCAGCAATGGAATAGAATGCTTTATGAGACTGAACAGCCACTGGAGGCATCTAAGCTAGTGGATTGTTGAAAAGGCAAGGAGGTGGATTAGATTATCTCCCAAGGTCATTCATTTCCAAATACGACATTCTGTGAACCCCTAAATTTAGCTAGGTTATGAAAGTAAGTTTATTTTTGTGGGTGTACAGATGTTGTTTTGGAAATTTCGTATTAGATGAATTAATACAGTGCTTTTGAGAAATGCTGCTTAGGTATAGAATTGAAATATTTATTGATATGCTATTGAACACGATTGCAGGGCACAGAAAAAACCCGAGGGCAGCGACGTGATCCTTGAAGGCCTGGTTCTTTTAAGACTGATGCTGCATGAGTGTTTTTGTATATTCCCCCAGTCCTACTCCTGCTTTTATCCCTGCAAAGTAGTTGAGAGACTGGCTGAACCTCACTTCATAAAAGAGCATGAATTTGAACTGCGATCTTCCGAGTCTTCTTTTAGTGCTGTAACCACTGTTCCCCAGATAAACACCCACAGGTTTTCTTTGACTTGATTTCCTGCTTTGCAGAGCACTAAAAGAGCCCAAAGAACTGAACTTCATTTTTGGTGTGAACATAGAGCAACGCCATCTGGACGGCATGTTTGTCTACAATTGCAGCCGGCTGATTAAGATGTATGAGAAGGTCGGCCCACAGCTGGAAGGCGGCATGTGAGTTCCCATGGAGACCTCCCCATCCCTTTATAACAGAAGATCTCTTTTTAGACGAAGTGGGACCATCTCTTTTTTATTTCTCTGTAATACAGGACAGAGAGATGCTCTTTGTAAAAAAAAAAATCATTTTTCCAGTCCCATTCTAACCAGTGCTTAGAAGTTTGGGTAGACTTTTGGAACTAACAGGAAAATACATCGCCTTGCAGTTGCTATGCTCAGCTACAGCACGCCAATTCACTTCAAGCTTTTTTGGATTTTAAATGCAAATGGGTGATATTAGCTGAAGAACTCAGTAAGCCAATATTGGCTTTACCCGTCACTAGTTAACACTTGTAAATTGTAACAGAAAAGTCGTAAAATGGAGCAAAACTCTCTTAACAACTGTCTTGCTTAGCAATGGAAGTTTTCGGCTCAATTGTGGTCGTAAGTTGAGGACCACCTATAATTCAGGTCCAGCTACTCTCTGACATTAGGCTGTTGGATGGGTGCCACCAGATGTGACCCCCTGTTTCTTCTCCCTAGGGCATGTGGTGGAGTGGTTGGGGTAGTGGATGTCCCCTATCTTGTCTTGGAGCCAACACACAACAAGCAGGATTTTGCCGATGCAAAAGAATATCGGCACTTGTTGAAAGCCATGGGAGAACACTTGGCTCAATATTGGAAGGATATTGAGATTGGTAAGACGTTATGGGGAGAATTGGGGGGGCAGGAAAGGAGGAAGAATAAAGGAAAAGAAACCCTATGGAGACAGATAACATTTGTTCATTTGTAAAAGGCTTTTTTTTTTAATTAAAAAAATATCCAGCTCAGAAAGGCATTAGCAAGTTTTGGGATGATTTTGGCTACCTCTCTGCAAACTGGAACCAGCCCCCATCAAACGAATTGCGCTACAAACGGCGGAGAGCCATGGAGATCCCGACTACTATTCAATGTGGTAAGTGGTGAATTGAGGTTTCCTGTATTCTGGGGTCCGAAAGCAGCCCCGTTGAGCCAAAGCCAGCGGTCCCACCCAAACAGCAAAAATAGCGATAGGAATAGCACTTATATACCGCTTCATAGCACTTTTACAGCCCCCTCTAAGCGGTTTACAGAGTCGGCTTGTTGAAACCCCCCCCCCCCAAAAAAAACCCAACAATCTGGGTCCTCATTTTACCGATCTCAGAAGGATGCAAGGCTGAGTCGGCCTTGAGCCGGTCAGGATCGAACTGCTGGCAGTGACCCTCGGTATTACGTCCTCTTTGCACAACAGTAGTGGACAAGTCCACGAAAGAAAAGTCCGTGTCCACCAGGCTAAAAATGTATAAGACTGTTGGCAATTATTGCATTCTCAGTACCTCAGTTGAGGGATCTGTGTACAGGTGTCTTACATTCAGCAGACTTTTCAGCATGCTGATTGTATGTTATGTCCTCGTATGACAGATGTGTGTTTGAAATGGCGGACACTCCCGTTCCAGCTCAGCTCTGTGGAGCAGGAATACCCAGATACTTGGATATGTGCCATGAACCCAGATCCTGAACAAGATAGGTGGGTGAGAATCAGAAAGCACTTTAAATCATAAATTGCCTTTACAGCAGCGCACCAGGTAAGTCACTTGAATAATGCTTCTTATCCTCCTATGAAACAGAATCCAGAGAGAGAATAAAACTCAGAAAGAACAAAAAAAATAGCAAGTCAAAGGATTTAAGAAATAAAGGAAAAGAAATTAGCTCGATCTTACAGCTATGCCATACCATACACCGTGGAGTGTGCTACATCTCCATAAACATTTTAACAAGTTGTACAATTCATCTAGTAGCTGTGGTTCTTTGAAGGGGGTTTTTTTGTGTGTGTGTGGGGGGGTGCCTTTAAATCATTTGTATTGATTCCTGGTGATTGCCTGGTTAGGGTTAGTTGTGCTAATCCCTGATGCTCAGAACAACATGAGTCCAGCCAAATGATTATTATACCTTGGAGTACTTTGTGTGTATTGTATGGCAATCCTCATAACTACGTATAGTACATTGGGGTAATAATTAGGATGCTAGTTTGCAGGAACTCTTGAGACAGAAGGAAGGAATCTGAGAAAGATTTTGGTCAAATCGTTACAGAGTGCAAGCACAGATCCTGATGCAAATCCATGGATTATAATAATAGACGCACAATATCCAACCTGTGTTCCCCAGAAGCCCAGGTTCTGCGAGGATCATCAAGATCTAGCTTTTGTTTCTGTTGTATTAAATGCATGATTGTAAAATGAATACAGGAAGCCCATTAATGGGATCTAGGCTGATTTTCCACATTGAGAAGGGTTACTTGGCTATCTGTAGTTTGAAGACTACTGGGATAAGAGAATCCGATTCAGATAAGCGTTGTGCCCTGTTTAATTCAAAGCTGGCGTGAATCTTCATCTCAGCATTAGTAGTAGAGCCTAAACCCACGTTATGCTTTTCGTTCACATTGCTGAGCTTTCTTTTGCCTTTTTTCCTTCCTCTGACAGGTGTGAAGCTCCTGAGCAGAAGCAGAAGGTTCCTCTAAGCCTCTTGAGAAAAGAGAAAACGCAGGAAGAAAAGGAAAAAGAGCTGACCGATAAAATTCGCCAGCAGCGGGAGAAACTGGAAGCCTTGCAGGTCAGTCTGCATGCTGGACTGTAGCATTTGTCCGTCTGGCCTCCCATCGTGTCAGGGGCTTCATTCTGCCAAACCATTTGCAGATGTTCCCTGTCCAGAGCCCAAAGTCATCCATACAGCCACACTACTACACACCTTTTCATTCTACACTAATTAAGAAACATAACGCACGTATATAAGAGAGTACTTTAGAGAACCACTTTGGTCTAGTGCAGGGGTCTTCAAACGTGGCCCTTTTATGACTTGTGGACTTCAACTCCCAGAATTCCTCAGCCAGGTGGTTGTTGTGGAGAAAAAAAAGAGAGGAGGAAGGAGTATTCTATATTTCTGCAGCCTTGAGTTAAAATAATAAAGGCGGGTTAAAAAAAATAAACGAACACTTTGTTCCAATTGTTCTGTCCAGAAAACTACCCCGGTGCGTTCTCATGCTGATCTGAAGAAGCTGCCTCTGGAGGTCACCACACAGCCTATGCTAGAGGTAAGTGCCCTCCAGCCACTGCTGTTTCTGGAATTGTTCTCTTCTGTTACACCAGAAGTAATCCAGTTGAAATGGCAATTGGGACCAGAATTTTCATCGCTAAGTCATTGGGTTATACAGTACAAAGTCACTTCGTCGTGGTTTAGTGAGACCAGTTCCAGTTGCCATTGTAACCCCAGAACCCTGTAGGAAGAGGCAGGATTCCCAGGCAAGGAGCATGAGGGATACCACAAATAGTGCTGCAGTGTGTAGAGGAGTGCATAGTTACTGCGGGGATAAAGATGCCGTGGGCAGGTACTATGAAGCACAGGTGGGCTGCTAAGAGCTACAGCCATTATGGAGGGCGGGCAAGCCTTAGATGGGCACCACAGAGTGTGGGTGGAGGCAGTGGCTACAGAGTAAGTAGTAGAGATCTTGTACTCCATAGTGGGGCTCCTTAGGGGAAATAAAATGGCAGGAGTGACTTGGGACCTTCTCTACCGGCTTCCCCATTGATTTTGCCTGTGGGAAGCCAGCCGGGAAGGTTGCAAATGGCGACCACAGGACTCCTCAACTGTTATAAGTACAAAGCAGTTGCCAAATGCCTGAATCAAATGGCCCTGGAACAGGTTACAACGGCCGGAACGCTTGAGGACCAGTTGCAAGGACCACACATTCACCTCAGTCTTAACCTTGGATGGTCACTAAAAAGTCGTTAAAATTGAGGATGTCCTGTCTTTTCATCATGTCCTAACAGAACGTGGACCTGTTCAGCAAACCCCAGCGGCCACGATCTCCTCCACTGCCCGACGTGATTAAGAACGCTGCCGCACGTCGGCCTCCCGTTCCTCCGGCTCCTTCCAGGCCCCTCAACTCTCAGAAGAAGGGCCCCCCTCCCCGACCAGCCATCAGCTGCTCCAGGCCACAGAACACGGTACACCAGGAAGAATCCAACCTTTCCAGGTTACAGCACCACTTGGAAGCTTCTCGGAAATGCCCCCCATCCACCTTTGTGATGCCTCTCTCCAGATCTGCGTCGATTGGAAAGATGGCCCCCGGGCCTGTTCAGAATGCCAGGAGCCAACATAGACCCCCCAGCCCCAAACACTTAAAGGTGCTGCTTCCACCAAAGAGACCTGCCTTAATCAAGCCTGCCCAGGTGAAAACCTTTTTTCTAAAAAAATAAAAATGCGAGGGTGGGGGTGTAGGTGGGATTGCTGCTTCCTTTGTACCATGAATGCCCACTGCCTCTGTTTACAGAACATTCCAGCACGCTCGCCAAAACAATCCTGATTAATTTTTAAAAGAAATAATGATCCAAAATGTATCCAAAAAGTCCACTCCACTGTCCTGCCGTTCTCAATCTTACCGAATTACATCTAAACTTGGAAGCAGAAAAAGAAATGTTGACCATTGAGATACGTGAGGCAGTCTCTCATCTCCGCAGGCTTCCGGTTCCCGGAAGAGAAGCATCAGCACAGTGGAGGATGACGAAGAGGAGGAGGAGGAGGAGGCTGGACTGAGAAAAGAAAAGAGGAAGCCAGCCAAACCTGTGACAGTGAAGGAAGAGAAAGACTCAAGCGAGGTGGTCGTTGAAGTAAGTCAGCCGGCCTGGTTGGAAGTAGGACTAGAACCCTCTGATAGAAATGGCTGTGACTGTCCCACCTCTCCGTAGATACCAGGTGGAGATCCGTGGCAGGAGCGCCCAGCACCCAGTCCTCGAGAAACCATACTTTTGTTCTGGGTGGCATTCTGAATTTTTGGTCCGTAAAGTACACGATGAAGGTTATTGATTTTCGGATATATTTGGCTTCTCTCTGCTTTTCAGCTGACGGACAGCGCGGGAGAAGAGGAATTAGCAGAAATGAGGAGAGCACAGAAAGGTACTTTGGGCTTGGTCTCTTGCACCTGCAGTGTTTTTTAAAGAGAGGTCAATCACCCATAGATTATATCTACCACAGGAAAACTCTTCTTCACCTCTTGTCTGCTAACAGGATCACTACGTGAGGGGCGGGGAGCCTGTGGTTTTCCAGATGCTGCTGAATTTTAGTTCCTAACATCCCTTCCTTACCCTTGGCGGCCCTGCGAGCTTCGCCCTGCGAATTCCATTACCCAATTTCAGTCTCGTAGACAACGCATTGAAGGAAGTGCCCTGACACTGGTAGCCATTCTGCTGCATTAAAAAAAAAAAGATTGTATGTTTTGAACTTCCACCTTGCAGCTATTGAATGCAAAGGACACAGAGAGCGCCAGAATCCTGCCAGTTTTTTTTTTTGTTGGTCTTTCAGCTGCCTCTCCCTCTCTGCTTCTCTCAGATAAAGGGCAGCACGTGGAGGTACGAGTGAACAAGGAGTGGTTCACAGGCCGAATTACAACCGTCGAGGCGGGCAAGCAGATGGTCCGTTGGAAGGTGAAATTTGATTACGTCCCAACCGACGTCACCCCAAGGGATCGATGGTAATTTTTAACGTACAGATTCTGGAGCAATAGGGGAGGGACTTAAGGAGGCTGAGGCAATTGAGGTTTTGCGCGATGGTCAGGCTGCTGTGAAGGAAGCCTTGAAGCCACTTGCTGGAAGCAGGTCAGATGGCCCTGGGCTTCGTTTGCTCTTCCTTGCTCACAATGTTAGGTCTTTGCTGGCTCATGTCGCATACAGGCTGTGCGGTGTTTCAGGTTCAGTTTGGACAGAGTAGCCTTCTTCTGGACTTAAGAGGCTATCTGCGCAAATCAAGAGAAATATTTCTCAAGGACAAGATCCAGAATTATTCACCACTGTCCCCCCTCAGTCTGATTGGAGTATCTCATAATCCCCCACATAGTTACCATTTAAGCCGGGGTAGGCAACCTTGGCTCTTTTGTGACTCGTGGACTTCAACTCCCAGAATCCCTAAGCCAGCATGGCTCAGCTTGGAAACCTCTTCCTTTCCCCTCAGCGTGGCTGGCTCGGGAATTCTGGGAGTTGAAGTCCACCAGTCATAAAAGAGCCAAGGTTGCCTACCCCTGATTTAAGCCAATCTCAGAACCGCTTCTAGACTGACCTATGGAATGACGCTTCGCATTAAAAAGCACCACATCAGCATAGGAGCAAAATGGAGAAACAATGCACTCCAATGACTTCTGGCAACATTAGGGCCTAAAAGTCTTTCACTTGACACAATATTGGCCTTAAAAAGTTGTGTTTAGTATTTGAATCATTTTAGCTCTCTGTCAGGAAAAAAAAAAGAGGCAGTTACTGGGGAGACTTGAGAATGGCAAATGACTTGTGCCGTGCCCGTTGCTTCGTTCAGGGTAGAGAGAGGCAGCGAGGATGTTCGGCTGATGAGACCCCCATCTCCGGAACAGCAGAGTCCAGGTATGCAGCAGGAGGAGGAGGAGCAGCAGCAGCAGCAACAACAACAACAACCACAAGACCAGCAAGAAGAGCAGCTGCAGCTGAATATTCCTTCTGAGCCCTCTACCTCTGAGGGTGGCCAAACAGAGCCGGATACCACCAGATCCGGCAACAGCCAAGAGAACGCGGACTCGTTAGCCCGGTCCCTACGGTGAGTGTTCAGTGTTGTGAAGCCATTTCTGGCGGTAGTCCCAATTTGGCATGTCCATCTTCTCATTTTGTGTTTCTGAATAAACAAGAGACAGCCTGTCAGATTTCATGACTGGAACAGAGGTCGGTGGGGGGCGTATCCCCGTTTAATGTTGCCATCGTTTAGATCGGCCAACTTCTTCGACTTACTTCTTTGTGTAATGTATTCTGCTCCTGGGGAAGAGCAAGACACTAAACACATTCGTAAAGGAGAATATTTGTGGCTCAGGGTTGACATGACCACAACCATGTAAACAATGCCCTGATGACGTTACCTAGTTTGGGTCATGAAACGTCTGCAGGAAAACAAGCCATCTCAGAGAGCACCAAGGACCCCTCACTAAACTCTGAATGCATATTTTGATTGATTGACTGATTATGTGCCATCAACTTGGTGTCAACTCAGCAATCACCTAAACGGACCCTCTCTCAAAGCTAGCCTTTCCCCATCTTGGCCCTTAAGGTCTTCCAGCAGCACATCCTTTGTCACTGATCGAATCTGTGTCCTTTGCTGTGTTGTCCTCTACTCTTTCCATCTTCTCAACAAAGCTGGGCTTTTGCTTAATATGTACAGAAACATCCTTAATAAAAAGGAGCTAAATATTCATGTTTGAATTCTATACCCAGTACCATTTTCTATGCTTTTGTGTGTGTGTGTGTGTGTGTGTGTGTGTGTTTGTTTGTTGTTAACTGCAAATGACATTATATACTTCTGCTATGCACTTGCCTGTCTTCTCTTTGCTTCAATAGGAATTGCTTGCGTTATTTCTTGCCCCCCAGTTTCCCCATTTCCAAGAAGGATTTGACTTCCATGAGCTCGCAAGAGTTGGTGGCATTCCCTTTGGTGAGTCCTTTGTTCAGCTGATAAATTCACGCACTACAACCAAGTTACCTCCCCAGATATATTCAGAGTTCTTTTTAATGAGATGTAGATTTTTGGAATCGGACGTTTGGTGTCGCCTCCATGGCCCTCTCCTTTAATATTTGTGAAATGCGCTCCTAAAACAGGCGCAAAATAGCAAAAAAAAGGAGAGAAGAAGTTAGAATCCCTGCATTAAAATTCATTTGTTATTTATAGAATGTAATTAAATTATACACTTCTCTGTCCCCAAAATTCCACATAAATCTCCACCTGTCACTCAACATTACGCAATTAATAATCAGGGCTGGTTTGATTGAAAGTCCAGTAATTAGTGTCTTTCTCTTCTTGCTCGGAGCAAATTGAAGTCCTTTTGCCTTGTTTCCTTATAACCTTGGGATGTTCTCCTCCATGTCTTCCCTTTCCACAGAAAGAGTACTTTAAACAATACGAGGTGGGTCTGCAGAACTTGTGCAACTCCTATCAGACCCGTGCAAACGGTCAGATCCAAGCCTGCGAGGAGAAAGTTCACCTCCTAGAGCAGAAGGTCAGGGAGACAAATGAGAAGCTTCAGAAACTGAGGACAAATATTGTCGCTCTGCTCCAGAAAGTACAAGAAGTAAGTGTGGCCTCCTCACTTAACAACCTGGATGTTTTTGGAGCTCTTTCTCAGGATGTGCAAAACCAACCCAGTCCCAGAGCTCTCAGATCAAATCTTTATTACCGTCAAAGACCAGCAGAGGTTTTGCACATCACAGTTGCTTTGAATCGCCTTTCCTCCGAGATGGATCTGGAACAGCCAGTAATCAGGAGTTACAAGAATTAACAGTCTTAAACATTGGAAATGAGCAACTTCTGTTACAAATATCAGCTTAGATCAGGGGTCTTCAAACTTGGCCCTTTTATGACTTGTGGACTTCAACTCCCAGAATTCCTCAGCCAGGCACGCGTGCCTGGCTGAGGAATTCTGGGAGTTGAAGTCCACAAGTCATAAAAGGGCCACGTTTGAAGACCCCCTGGCTTAGATTCTCAGGGTGTTGTTGTCTACCAAATTCTTTATTGTGTTTTTGTAATTACTAAGAGTCACTCCTTTTGTTCGTAAGAGGTACATTATGTGGACTAAAGTTTTTTTCTGCTGTTTTTTAGGATATTGATTTCAATTCAGACGATGAACTGGATGCTTACATTGAGGACCTCATCACCAGAGGAGATTGACAGGCCCAGCGAAAGCGTGAAATCAGACAGCAATGCGGTTACTACTGTGTCCATTGGGTCTCCCAATAGGGGTAGAACAAGCAGCGCCGGCTGATGGGCAGAGCTGAAGCCATGGTTTTAGAGACTTGTGTTCCTTGTAGAGTTTGTCAGTGTTGAACATGTTCGTATTTTCTCTTTTATATAATGAAATTAGCAACTGTACTGTTAAGGTTTCTAACCTTTTGTTTATAAATATTTGTTTAAAAAAGAAAAAAAAAAGACAAACCTACCCCCCCCCACCCCGAAAAATATAATTGTTCATGGAGCAAGCTTTATTTGTAGTACAGATGGATTCATTCTTGAATTTTGATAAAAGTTAACTCTAAGAAACACTCTTCCATTTGAAGGGATGTGCTGGAGCTGGTAAGAGAAGCCCACTGGGGCAGTTTGTTGCTGGGGCCTCTCTTGTGGGGAGGAGAAAATTAACATAAAGCAGACGGGCTCCGAAGGTGTAACAGAAATTGTTCGTATAATTGGAGAAAAGCATTTTTCTGACAGCAGGGGGTATTATTTGATCAGAGCACCACTTTGTGGCTCACCTCCTACTTTGCATTTACTCCATTTGGAAGTCTTCATAAATTTGGCCCCTGACACATTACCCCCCCCTTTCGCACTTTTCATCTGGAGCTGACACGTGTTCTTCATCTTAAGAAGCTGGGGATAAACTTGCTGGATATAAAAAAAAACCTGGAAGCTAAAATTGTTTGCTATTGCTTCTTTAGTCTCTGGGCCGAAGGGAAAGCAGAGAAGTGAACTCAGCCCCTGAAGCTTTTCTTTTGGTTCCTCCCATCCCACAGTTCAAAACAGCCCCATTCTCAATTTACGGGATGTGTTTGAAGCAAACTTGGGTTCTGCCTTGGGTGTCACTTCAGGCCAAAGGCAATGGAGTTGTTGAACTGTCGCATAGATCATTGTGTAGACGTAAGGCACTTTCAGAAGGAAGGATGGGCCCTCTTCCAGTATGCAATGAATTCCATAAATACACACACACACACACACACCTTTCTTCTTCAAGCTATTTTCCAACAAAATCTCTTGACAAGGAGGCTATTTGCAGGCAAGCACAGCTGACTGAAACTCTTAACACCCAAGCTGAATAAAACGCAGGGCGTTTTTTTTAATGTAGTCTGGACTTTTGCTGCTGCCTTTAAAAAGAAAGATCAGCCACAAACAGGAAAAGAGGCTGTGTCTCAAAGGAGTATCCAGCAAATGTTCAAGGACTGCAAAAGCACCACTCGGCCTGCAGCTGCTAGAAGCATCTAAGAGACACAGAAAAATAAGCTGTTCCTCAGTTCTGACTAAGACAGCAGCAACATATAGTAGCTCCCAGCGGGCCCATCCAAAACAAGGGAAATGACTCTTTTTATGTAGAATTGGGCAGAAACTTAATTTTCAGGCAGCCAGTTTCCTTCAGAGTCATTTAGTCACGCTCTCTGATGATTCGGGATTCTTTCCAACCTGTGCTTATTGCAAACTTGGGAAAACGGGGCTTCGAAGTGTCTGAAGGTTAATTTTATGGGAAAAGGATGCACAGTTTTATGGGCTAGCTTGACACACAAGAGACCAGTTAACAAGCAGGTTTTTAGCCCAAGATCTCACGCTGGACAAAAGAAGTGTAACGTGCCCTTTCTGATGTGGCCACAATCAAAGCCTTGATTTCTCAAATCTATATGCACGTGGTATGAAGCGTTTTGATTAAGCTCTTCGGTTCTAGAGAAAGATATGAACAAGAGAACAGGCAGCCTACATTCTAGATTTGCACCCAGTTGATTCCTGAAATTCTTTTCTGCATTCCTTGAGCCGCTTTTGAAGAGTCCCCGAAAATCAGGAACTCTTCCAGCTCTTCTGAGATTAGTGGTACGCTCTTAAAATATATTCTGCATTAACGTACGTTTTAAAGAAAAAGACAAATCCCCTGAATAGAATCCAAAAACTTTATAAAATTCCTCCACCTTGAGTGATGGGCCTGCCCACTGCCATCCTTGCTTTTCTGAAATACGTACATGGTCACAAAAAGGTGACTCCCACCGGTTGTAAACTGTTGTTACGGAAGTTGGTCCATCTCTTGTATCTGGGAAGCTGATCTAGAATGGGGGAGTAGCCAGTGCTTCCCTTCAAGGAGACTGACTAATGACTAGAAATGGGGGGCTGTAATCCCAAGCATCTAGAGAGCTTTTTAAATTTTTAAAATCTCCTGTAGGCCTTCCAATCAGCAGCCTGGTGCAATCTTATTTGCTTCTGTAGGTGGGTCCAGGGGATGCTTCTCCAACCTGATGTATTTCTCCATCCCTCGGTGGCTGAACCTCCCAAACCTCCTCTCCCAGCTGCTAAGACATTCCTTCCCCCCCACTCTCTTCCCACCACCCTTATCACTGTACCCCTTTTGTGATGGAGGGTGCAGCTGCTTAGATCTGCGCCTGGCTGATGAAAGAGCCTTCGTGAAAAGCTGGGCAGCTGAGACGATTCATTGTCCCAACTGCCAGCTTCCCCAGGACTGGAGCTCAGCAGCGGTGCTTTTTGGAGGTACCCCCTGTCCACATGGCACCCCATTCCCCAGACAGTCTCCAATGCAAGTTGAAGGGTGCTTACCCCCTGGCACACACCTCCCCACAGCGGTGCGTCATGTAGGAGAGATTCTCTGCATTCTCTTCCTAGTCCTCGCTACTGTCTGCAAGCCCCCTTTTTCCTTCACGAGATGAGAAAGCCTGAGCTGTTTCTCCTCTGCCTCTTGCCAAGAGGGGGGGGAAACAGTGGAACCGGGGACATGCAGGTCGCATCTGGGGCTGAACCCCAAAGGTTGCCAAGTTTTCCCTTGCCTTGGGACACTGAAGCCTTGTCATCTGTCTCTTGGCTCCCTTGGGGAGATGCCCTGCAGATGTGGGACAGGGCAGCTTCCCAGGAGAGGCACAGAACAGGGTGGCTTTGTGCAGTCTTTCCGGGGTTCTCCCAGCCTCCCCATTTTGCCTTGCTCAGGTCAGCCCTGCTACACCTCTTTTGCTTGCTGCTTCTCTTTTCCAAAATAGCTGCTTGTGAGTGCAGGTCAAACCTGGTAAGTGTGACGCTGGAACGACAGCAGAAGTCTTCCATCAATTGCATTCAAAACAATCCCACTTGGACGATAGTTGTATTTCCTAGCCAGACGGGGGCAATGAGAATTTAGATCCAACCGATCTAGGAACAGTAGGATGGAGGTTTGTCATACAAGGGCGTTTCCCAACCAAACCATCTCTAGATGTGTGGATTTTGTACTCCTAGAATTGCCTAACTAGCAAGACCCATTACCAGGAAAGCTGGAGGTTGGGATCCAGACTTCTGGGGACATACACAGGCTGGGAAAATCTACCATTTTGGGGTACAGGGGTGCATGTATATCCCAAGACTGTGTGATTATTTGGAGATGCTAAGGAGCACAGACTGAAGCTGATTTCCCTTCCTTTCCTTATCTGACACATATTTATCCTTTCCTCTCAAAATCAGCACCCTTCAAAGGAACAAGTTCTTAGAAATTAAGAACTTTGGGGAATTAGACCTGGGTGTTTTTTAAGCCTCTTTTTAAGGGCAGGATTGGAACTAAATTTGATGTCCTTTCCACTGCACTGCAAGGAGTCTTCAGTTCACTTCTGAAGGAGAGAAGCAACCTGGAGTTGTGGAGAAAAATCTCTGGCAGGACAACCAACCAATAGAACGGCTTGCCTTCAGAAGTTGTGGGTGCTCCATCACTGGAGGCTTTTGAGAAGAGACTGGACAGCCACTTGTCAGAGATGGCACAGGGTCTCCTGCTTGAGCAGGGGGTTGGACTAGAAGACCTCCAAGGTCCCTTCCAACTCTCTTATTCTGTCATTCTGAATCCAGCTTGGCCTCGCCTCTCCGCAGGGAAAAACCCCTTCGCTTCGGGCATTCCCCGCTTCCCCCCCACTGGAGGAACTTCACCCCTCCCGCTTTTTTTAAAAAAAAAAAACAAAACGCCGCGCCAGCCCGAAACAGCTAGAAAAGAACCGACTCTCGTTTTTTTTCCCCCCACCGAAGAGAAAGAGAAGCCTTTATTGGGTACAAGGGAGCTGTCCACCGCAAGGACCTGCCCCGAAACGGTGAGTCCCCCGGGGGGTCGCGAGAGGAAACCAGTCCGAAGCCAGGCAAGGGAAAGTCTCAAGACGGGGCGGACCAGGCGGGCGCCGGCTTGGCGATCCCGTCCCGTCCTTTACACCTTGGTGCCCGAGGAGGGCAGCTCCGACTTCTGCGTCTGGCCGCTGAGCGTGGAGGAGACGGAGCCGGCGGGGCCGCGGCGGGGCCGTCGGAGGCCGAGCAGCAGCAGGCACTGGGCGCGGAAGCGGCCGTCGAAGAAGGCGTAGAGGAAGGGGTTGAGGCAGCTGTTGACGTAGGCCAGGCAGGTGGTGTAGGGGTGCAGGCGCAGGATCAGCTCCAGCCAGGCGCAGGGCAGGCTCAGCGCGCCCACCCAGGCCAGCACGTAGAGGCTCTTCAGCAGGTGGAAGGGCAGCCAGCACAGGGCGAAGACGGCCACCAGCGTCACGATGATGCGCAGCGGCCGCCGCCGCCGCCCCCGCCGGCTCTCCTCCTGCCGGGCGCGCCGTCGGAAGTGGCGGCTGACGGCGGCGCCGATGCAGCAGTAGCACAGCGTCAGCAGCAGCAGCGGCAGCACGAAGCCCAGCGCGGTCGTGGCCAGGCTCAGCGCCGCCAGCCAGCGGGCTGCCTCCTCGGCGCTGCCGGCCCAGCCGCTGAAATCCATGTCGCACTCCAGCGCCGAGCCGTTGCCGCCGTCGCGGGGGCTCAGCCGCGTCCGGCGCAGCAGCAGGGCCGGCAGCGCCAGCAAGCCGGCCAGCAGCCAGACGGCAGCCAGCGAGAGCAGCCGGGAGGCGCGCGGCCGCCAGGAGGCCGAGCAAGAGGCTGCCGTCCGTCCGGCCGAGCGCGGCAGGGCGTGCACGATGGCCAGGTAGCGCTCGAAGCCCAGGCAGCCCAGGCAGAAGGCGGAGGCGAACATGTTGAGCAGCACCAGGTAGCTGCTGAGCTTGCAGAGCGCCGAGCCGAAGGGCCAGTGGAAGCGCAGCGCCGTGTAGGCGGCCCACAGCGGCAGCGTCACCACGAAGGCCAGGTCGGCCAGCGCCAGGTTGCCGATGTAGGCGTCGGCCGGGCGCCGTTTGGCCGGCGCGCCCCTCCAGACGGTCAGCAGCACCAGCCCGTTGCCCGACAGCCCCAGCACGAAGACCAGCATGTAGAGCACGGGCAGCAGCGAGAAGGAGAGCTCCCAGTCCGTCTCGGCCTCTTCCCAGAAGCAGCCCCCCAGCCCCCCGGCCTCGCTCCAGTTGCCCGACGGCTCCTCGTCGTAGGCGTAGTCCTGGTCCTCCATGCCGCCCTCCGATCGGCCCCTCCGACGGCCGCCCAGCCAGGCTGCTGCTGCTGCCGCCGGCGCGCCCAGGGCGCTTAAAGAGGGCTCCGCGCCTGACCCCGCCCTTCGCTGGGAGGGGGGCTGGGGGTGGGAGGGAGGGAGCGCCTTCCCCGACGGGAGGCAGCTGCACCGGGCGCGCTCCAGTCGCCCCCACCCGCGTCCCGATGCGAGCCGAGGGAAGAAGCCCGCCTCGCCCCCCCCCCCGGGCACGTCTGAATAAGAAAATCCCAGAGTTGGAAGGGACCTCGGAGGTCTTCTAGTCCAACCCCCTGCTCAGTCAGGAGACTCTGTCTACCATTTCTGACAAGTGGCTGGCCAGTCTCTCCTTGAAAGCCTCCAGTGATGGAGCATCCACAACTTCTGGAGGCAGGTCGTTCCACTGGCTAATTGTTCTCATCGCCAGGGAATTTCTCCTTAGTCGCTTAGGCTTGCACTACAATCTCTGCTGCACGCTTTCTCTTTTACAAGACACAAGAACAGGTGATGGGCAGGGAAGGTAAAAAAAAAATCCACAGAGGGGGAAATGCCTCCGTTAGACCAACTAATATATGTTTTTCAAGTTGCTGCGAGTTTTTAGTGCTTTTCTTTTTTCCGGGCCAGTTGGAACCCCCAAAATAGCCCTTTTGTGCCAAGGCCTCTGGGCATGCAAATGAGCTGTGCGGGTGCAAGAGAAGGACCCAGCCTAAATAAGAAGGAGGAGCCAGAAAGACCTGCTCAAATCTTCAATTCAAATCCTTGGCTGCTGAAAGTCTTATGTTTTTTGGGGGGTGGGAGTTCATTTGACGTTCTGGTGAGAGACACCAAAAAGATTTTGGCTGCCTGCTCCGGCTGCAAAAAAATAATAATAATAAAAAATATTCAGATGACCACTAATGGCTCAACGGAGCTCTCTGACGCCTTCAAGTGGGCGTTCAGATCTTTGCAAGCCAAGCTGGTCTCCCATCTGGGCCCTGAGCTGCCGGGTTGTCGGTTGTCACTGCGAACACCCTCCCCTCCCCGCACACCTCCCGAGACACAAAGAGGATTCAGAAAGCCCTAAGAAGGCACAAGGGAGGCTCCTGTTGGTTCTTCCTGGCCTCTGTGTGGGAATTTTCCAAACCGGATGCCCCATTCATTCGTCAGGGCACAGCAACAGGGCTGGGACCCCCCCTCCCTGTGAGAACCCCACAACAAGAGGCTATAAATCCCCTTCCCACATTCGCAGGGCAGCAGAAATGGAACGATGCCACAAAGCTGCACACCGAGGTGCATGCCTGAACCATCCTCTAGTTATGTCCTGCTCTGCAAGCTGGGGAGTGGGGGGGGGAAGGAAGAGGGACCTTGTGATGCTTAGTGTGGGGCTGGTTAAGGAAGAATTTAGAATAACCGAGTTGGAAGAGGTCTAGGGGGTCTTCCAGTCCACCCCCCTGCTCGGGCAGGAAACCCTAGACCACAAAAATGGAGGCATTGCAAAGCCAATTTTTGCACTGTGTTGAAATGCAAGTAGTCCTCAAATTACAACCCAAAATTTAATGTTGCTGAGTCAAACATTTGTTAAATGAGTTTGTCCCATTTGACAACTTTTCTTGCCACAGTTGCATTTCTTAATAACACGGTTGTTAACTGAATCTGGATTTCTCACTGACTGGGCTCGTCAGAAGCTCGCCAAAGGGGATCACGTGACCCCAGGACGCTGCAACCGTCATAAATACGAGTCAGTTGCCAAGTGTCCGAATTTTGATCGGGTGACCACGGGGAAGCTACAAGTGTGAAAAACGGTCATAAGTTCCTTTTTTCCGGTGACATAACTTTGAACCGTCACTAAATAAACTGCTATAAGTCAAGGGCTACCTAAAACATTTTAGGGCTGATCGGTGCCTACATTTCCAATGGAGAGCTTCGATGTTGCAGTTGGCCTCTCTCCCATTTGCTGAGGGCGAGGAGGGTCTTTGCTGCCCCCGGACCCTCCTGAGCTGTTTTTCTTTCCCTTCCCTGGTGTTTTTCCAAGGCCTGCCAAATTGCATTCCCTGAAGGAGGAAGGCGATAAGAGGGTGATGGCTGAAATGGCAACAGAGACGTCTTGGCTCTGGGATCTGTCCGTGGGTGGGAGGGAGGGAGTGTGAAAAGGGTCGAGAGGAGGACTGACCTCCTTCACCCCATTTGACAATCCAGCCGGTCTATTTTAAACTCCAGCAGTAGATGGAGGATGAAATTGCCCTCCCAAAATCAAGTAAGAAGCACCGAAGTTTTGAAAGACAGGAGACCCAAACAGTAAACCGCCAGGCATTTGAGCTCTTAAATCTTTCCTAAGGATCCATCAAGACTGAACGAAGAGATATAAATGCAACTGCTATTCTATTCCTATTCTCCATTCTCCATTCCCATTATTCTATTCTATTCTATTCTATTCTATTCTATTCTATTCTATTCTATTCTATTCTATTCCATTCTATTCTATTCTATTCTATTCTATTCTATTCTATTCTATTCCATTCCATTCCATTCCATTCCATTCCATTCCATATTCTATTCTATTCTATTCTATTCTATTCTATTCTATTCTATTCTATTCTATTCTATTCTATGTTCTGTTCTGTTCACAGAAGATAAATGAGAGGTTTAAATTTCTTTTGCCATTCGGAAAAAGCATTACCATTCTGAAAGGTTGAGGGACACAGGAGACTTGTGCAATGCAAGGCAATAAGAGGAGTGTCACTCCTGGCCTGAAAAAACAGTTGCACATCCCTGTTGTGAGAGAAAGGAAAGCGGACACCCCCCATCCCCCACCCCCGGCACACACTTCAGGATACAAGGCCCATTTCTTGGGACTCCCACGGGATGCTGAGGCTCCTGGGCTGGAGCGTGTGAACTTCTGCAAGGAGAATTCCGATTCTTTTTGCCAAGTGGGAGACCAAAGTGGGAACTGGAATCTGGCTCTGTAGCACCGGGACTCTTAATGGCTGCAAGATAATAAACACAGAATTTACTTTTTTTAAAATTAGATTTGTATCCCTTGTGCCCATCCTTAGTTTCCAAAACTCTCCCCTGTTTGTAAAAACCACTTTGCCAAGGAAGCATCAGACCTTTCAGTTTAGTTTTGCGTAAAAAAAACCCCAAACCCACAGGTTACTAACACAGAAGTTCTCATGCTCAAAAAAATTGTTGGGGCTTCTCAGTGCAGCCCTTCATGATCAAAACCTCAGCCCAACACATAACAGAAAAAGAGCAGGTCATCCAGTGGTGGGATCCAGTTGGTTCGCACCAGTTCTGCAAAACCAGTAGCTAATTTTTTGTTGCCCAGGCCCAGAATGGACTTCCGGAAGCGGCATCCACACAGAGAACCGGTGGTTCACCTATTTGAATCCCACCACTGGGGTCATCAGTTGTGTGAATGCAATGGACTGTTTGACTTTTTTGACCCCTTCTGCCCCGTTTACTACCCTTATTCTGAAAGACCCTGACAGCATATTACATCCATCAAAAAGAGAGAGAAAAAAGCTGTCTTGTAGTTTTATGTGGACAATCACTTAAACACGAACCAGCAGTGTGCGGAAGCCGCCTAAAAAGCCAATACAACCCTTGGTTGCATAAACAGAGGCGTAGAATCAAAACCACGTGAAGTATTAGTACCACTTTATAAAACCTTAGTAAGCCACACCTGGAAGACAAGCTTGGATTTGTCTGCCCAAGGGCCCCTTTTGACCTCCATGTACTGCCAAAAATGAATCGTCCATCCCTGGAGGGAAACCATTCTCATACCTGCAGAAGCTTAACAATGGGAGCACCTGATAGCAATCTCCCTCTGCAAACCAGGTGTGGCAATTTTACTACTTTTTCCCCAATGGGCACTAAAGGGGGAAAAAAACCACAATCTTCTAATTTCTACAAATACCCCCAGGGTAGCCAGGTTCCTGCCCCTATTCAGGAAGGTGATCGGATTTTAATTAACACTTAACTCAGGTGGAAGCTGCCGTTTTGCCATTCCTGCTGCTAATTTCCTCTCCCTGAAGGAAGAGAGATGGCTCTTCAAACCCAATTGGAGGAGTCCTGCAGAAGGTGGAAAACAATTGGGGTGCGTGAGGGGGGTGTATTCCTCTAGGAATGCTCCCATTTCTACTTGTTTGGTGGATGGGTTAAATGTTGACCCTACGATTGTCAAAAAGTTTGTCTCTTTAGGAGGAATTCGCTGGAATGCATTGCACCCCATTGGCCTAAGCCATGCTTGGTTAAACCATGGTCTGTCAACTGAACAAAGCATTGGGCAAACCACAGCCTCAGCCAGCAATTCTCACCCTTGGCAGGTTGCAGATGTGGACTTCAACTCCCAGAGTTCCCCAGCCAGCCAAAAGATGCTGAGACTCTAGATAGAAAGAGTGCAGAGAAGATCAACAAAGATGATTAGGGGGCTGGAGGCTAAAATAGTTGATGAATGATTGTGGGGGAACTGGCTATGTCCAATCTAAGGAAGAGAAGAACTAGGGGTGACATGATAGCAGTATTTCAATATCTCAGGGGCTGCCCCAAAGAAGAGGGAGTCAAGCTATTCTCCAAAGCACAGAAGCAACGGGTAGAAACTAATCAAGGAGAAGCAACCTAGAACTAAGGAGAAACTTCCTGACAGTTAGAACAATTAACCAGTGGAACAGAATTGCCTCCAGAAGTTGTAGGTGCTCCATCACTGGAGGCTTTTAAGAAGAGACTGGACAGCCACCTATCTGAAATGTTATAGAGCAGGGGTGTCAAACTCACAATGTCACGTGACATGTCGTGACATATCGCAACTTTTTTTCCAGTGCCGGCAATGGAGTGGGTGCGTTTTCGCTATGATGCATCCAGCCCGCGGGCCGGCAGTTTGACACCCCTGTATAGGGTCTCCTGCTGGAGCAGTGGGTTGGACTAGAAGATCTCCAAGGTCCCTTCCAGCTTTATTCTGATTGATAAGGTAACACTGGAGCAGTGCTGGGCAGGAGGAGGGCAACCCG